CTCCATCTGGCTCTCCAGCTGCTCGTATCTGTTGACGGCGCTTTCGAGACGCTTCTCCACGCCGCGAGCATTATGGTGAGTTCGGTTGGGTTGAACCTGCATGGGCACCGAGGGAGCAGCTGGTGCTTGGAGAGCAGCCGCTGCGGTCTTGTGGGCCCTTTCTCCCTGAAAGTCCCCCAGCTTCTCGCACAGGCCAGCCATCTGCATGCACTCCTCCGCGGTGAGAAGGGTCTTCAGCAGCAGCGGCAGTTGCGCCCTTGCCACCGCTGGCTGATGCACCTTTGCCGCCTTTGCTGAACCCTCCTTTGCCACCTCCACTTTGGTTTCCGAAGGGCTCGATCGCCTTGCCCGAGGACCACGAAGAGGATGACAGCGCGGAGTCGCTCTTGACTGCACCGCAGTACTTGCAAAAATAGTACCGACCTTCATCCTTTTTGCGCCCACACTAGCAGCAAGCCCACCGCTGCGAGTGGCTGCCAGCAGGGGCGCCAGCAGCACCACCATCTCGAGCAGCACCTTGGAAGCCAGGCGCGAGCGGGGGCCAGACCTTAGGATCATCCCGCTTGGGCGGTCGCATTGCGCCGAGACGACCCCTTCCTCCATCATGATGAGTCGGTTGCGACCAACTGCGATGCCTTGGCGCCGCGCCCATGAGACACGTCCTTTCCCGCCATCGCCTTTGCCCACCATGACGCTGCACGAGTCGTGGTCAGAGCAATGCTCCAGCAGGAGCTCACACATGAAAGTGTGCGTGTTGAGATCCCGCGAACTGAATGTAAAAGGACACCCGGGCCAATCAGGCCCGCAACAGCTGTGTGCCGTTCTGAAGATAAGCTGTTGCAGACACAGGCTAAAAGCTTGAGCCAGAACGGGTGAAGGAGGAGGAGGAGGAGCAGGAGGAGGAGGAGCAGGAGGAGGAGGAGGAGGAGAATGAGGAGGAGGAGAAGGGGGGTGGATGATCGAAAGTATGGTTTTGGGCGTGTCTGGGCCTCCGAAGACTTCCAGTGGCCGCATTTGGGTACATCCCAGAGACGTCCGAAGACTTGCGGGGTCTTCCAAAGGTTAATGAGGAGGAGACGAGTAGGAGGACGGGCACTCGCCGCTTGCAGCGCGGCGCCCCCCCCCCCCGGCTTCCCGCGAGGAGGAGCGCCGTGCCCCCCGCGAGGACCCGCGAGAACGAGGAGGAGGAGGAAAAGGAGGAGGAGGAGGAGGAGGAGGACGAGGAGGGAGAGGAGGAGGAGGAGGAGGAAGAACGCGAAGACGACGGTGTTGGTGGCGGTGACGATGACGACGACAGCGACGGCGCTGGCGACGGCGACGACGACGATTGTGACGCCACCAGGAGCGCCACCAGGTGAGGCACAAGTCCCTGTCCCAGGCGAGGCACCACCCCGTGTCCCGAGAGTCGAGCCGGGACACATTCACCGAGCTGGGGCTGGAGGATCCGTGCCAGAGGATGAGGAAGAAGAGGGTCTGGGGAATCCTCTCTCTTCCTCCCCCTCCTTCCTTCTAACTCCTCCTTCTCCTCTTTCTGCTCCTCACCTCTGCTCATTCTTCTGCTCCTGCTCTTCCTCCTTCTGCTCCTCCCTCCCTCTCCTCCATCCCTCCTTCCCGCTCGCGTAAGGTCACCCGCGCGCGCGGAGCCCGAGGATTGGATTGGACACGTCGAGGGAGGAGAGCTGTTGACGACACCCTGTCAAAGTTGTGCTAAGCAGCGGCAGCCGACAAACAGCGAGCAAGACGGAGCGCGCGCCGCGTGGCCGCACCATCATGTGAGGCGCCCACGCTTGTCCATGCCCTTGTTGTTGCTCTTGTGCATGCCCTCCCGGCAGCAGACGTGCAGTCCGGCTGGGCAGCAGGAGCACTGTTTCACCATCGCGGAGGAGCCCAGCGGCAAGGTAATGGAACGACCAACGACAACGATGAGGGCTACAGGGAGGGGGGGAGGGCTGGAAGCACGGCGGCCGCGCCGCCGCCCCCTCAATCAGGGGCGCCCGGCCGCACCTGCAGGCGAGCGCGCAGGGCCGCCCGCCTCTCTGCCTCGCGGCCGCCGACGCGTTCCGCTGGGCAACAGGAGCACGATGCGCCCCGCAGAAGCGGCCTCCGAAACGGACAGCACGCACGCATACGTGCGTGGCACTTCGGTGGCTGCACACGGGCGGCTGGGAATAAAGCAGCCCACGGGCGGCGACCATCACACCGCGGATCAAAACCCAGGCTGGCAGCAACAGGACGCTGGTCGTGTGCAGCCGGAGTATACCACGAGCTCCGCGACCATCCTCCGCAGCTGCTGGATCGTCAGGGCGGCCAGCGCCGACGTGAGGAACCACTACAACAGCCTGGGCATCAGCGCCTGAGCCAGGGCATCCCCTGGAGCGTGGGGCGGCAGTCCCTGTGATGCATAGCTTCGAAGACATGCAGGACGTATTGCACGGCACGCACCTGCACACGAGAGGCCTGAGTTTGGCGCTCAACCACGGTGCGCCGCGGGCGTCCGGCGCGCCGCAGCTGCGCATGGTGCATGGTCGCGCAACCAACGGGAGAGGCGGGGGCGGCGCTGGCGGCGCGGGCTCGCAAGACCCGAAGGAAGGCTTGGGCTGGGCTGGCGCCTGTCGCCTTTCAGTACGAGCGTAGTAAGACGCTAACAACGGTGCCGCGATAGAATTTGGTCCGCGTGCGTCATGGCCGAATCAAGTCAGCACAGCCGTGTACAGTCCAAACGGACATACACTGTGACACAGAGCTTACGCCACCATGCATGTGTCAGGACTTTGATGCAGTCGCAATGGGGGATGTCATTGCGAACAGGGCGTTCTGAAATGCCAAGCGAATATTCTTGGGGAGCTTGCGATTGTTCTGCACGGGTATCATCCGCAAGGCCACATACGACCAGTTCAGCTTGTAGCGCATTCGCGAGTCATTGCCAACCGCGACGTCGCATGATTCAGTTCAGTATATACTTTGTTCCACCAGCCATGTCACCGCTTGCTACGGACGTCGCGTGAGGCCTTCCCATATAAGCGGCCAGCTGGACCACATTGGGGGCACACGGTGCTATCTCCATCCTGTGTTTGACGATAGCCTTCCAACCCAAGCAGGAGGGTTTGGAGCTTGAACAAATATCTCGCGTAATTCGAACCCCCCCCTGTGTTGGGTTTACGTTTTGAACAGAGCGCGGATGTCGCACATCTCCTCTTCCTCCCCACTCATCCTGCCTCCTGCGTCCCGCACCAGCCCATCCAGAAACGATGTCCAGGCGAGTTCAGGTGATCAGGGAAGTGCGGGAGCAAAGGGGTGGACGTCAGAACCGTGCGAAGGAGGGAGGAAGAGAAGGATGAGGCTGGATGAATGGATGAGGGAGTGGGGCGAAGGAAGATGGATAGGATGAGAAGGAGGAGGATGAGAAGAGAAGGAGTAGGAGGAGGAAGGAGGAGCAGGAGGAGGAGGGCAAGCAAAAGGGCTAAAGATCTCTTGGATGCCCCTCGGAGCCTCTTGGGATATCTCTTGGGCGCTTCTTGGAGGCCTTTTGGGACGTCTTGGAGGTCTCTCGGCGGTCCTGGGGGGCTATTGGGCGTCTTGGGTGCCTCGGGAGGGCCTCTTGGGGCCGCTTGGGGTCATCTTGGGGGCCTCCTGGGGGCCTCTTGGGGCCATCTTGGAGCCATCTTGGGGCCATCTTGGGGCCGCTTGGGACCTCCTGGGCGCCTCTTGGGGCCATCTTGGAGGAGATCGGTCAAAGAAGGGGGGGTCCTTCATTCGCCTCCCTCCCCACAAGGCCAACATGGGTCCAAACCCCTAGTGACACCTATGATGTTGGCTTCCTCGCCGAAGAGGGAGGGGTGGAAGAGGACCCCCCCTAAAACACCTACGCCAAGAGGGCTGGTGGGATGGTCGCCACTTTCGGCGGCCCCTGGGAGGCACTGCGGGGTAGCGGAGCAAGTGCCCGAGACCTCGCAGTTCTTTGGGTGGTTGCGAATTGCGCAATTGTCGCCATTTTCGATTTCGTTGGCTCCTGGAAGGCGCGGCGGAGTTGCGGAGTACCCGAGACTTCGCAGCCTCTTGGGTGGCTACGAATTGTGCAATCATTGTCGCCACGTTCGTGAGCTCTTGGGATGCACGGCGGAGTAGGGGAGTACCGGAGACCTCGCAGTCCCTTGATTGGTTGCGAATTGCGCAATTGTCGCTAATTACGTGGGCTCTCGTAAGGCACTGCGGGGTAGCGGAGTATCCGAGACCACGTAGTTCCTTGGGTGGCTGCGACATGCAAAGTTGTCGCCATGTTCGAATTTGTGGGCTCCTGGAAGGCACGGCGGAGTAGCGGAGCACCCGGGACTTCGCAGCTTCTTGGGTGGCTACGAATTGTGCAATCATTGCCGCCATGTTCGTGGTATCTTGGGTCTTACGGCGGAGTAGGGGAGTGCCCGAGACCTCGCAGTCCCTTGATTGGTTGCGAATTGTGCAAGTGTCGCCAATTTCGTGGGCTCCTGTGAGGCACTGCGGGGTAGCGGAGTACCCGAGACCTCGCAGCTGTTTGGTTGTGAATTGCACAATGTGTCGCCACGTTCGTGGGCTCCTGGAAGGCACGGCAGAGCAGCGGAGCACCCGAGACTTCGCTGTTCGTTAGGTCGTTGCGAATTGTGCAAGTGTCGCCACGTTCGTGGGCTCCTGGAACTGTCTCAGTTGTCGTGGGTTCCTGGGAGGCACGGCGGAGATGAGGGCCGCCCTGATCGTGGACATGTCTGGCGATGTGTTCTGTCGGATGGAGCGTTCATACAAATATTCGCCTCGCTTGGATGAAGGGTTTGGGTATGCCTCGGTTAATGGTGTTGGGGCTCCAGGCCTGCTCTGGCCTACGCAGTGTTGCGCATCGACGGACACTTTGGTTGACGCTTGGTACAAGATCGTGAAGAAGACGTGCGGCATTTGCCGTTCTTTTGGGGCGCAGTTCGACCCCAGGTCACGGTGTCTGTACCCACCGTCGTCACCCAGATGTTGCGCGGACGTGGTTGCCATGGCAAACACGTTACGAGGTTGCGCGATCGCTCACCAAACTCATTTTTCGATTCGGCTCAATATTGAAGCTCCCAGTGTACACACATCCCCGTAGAGCAGTTCTGCCCGACAAATACCAAGCGCAACCTAGTATATTCTAGACGCTTCGCGTATTCCCACCTGAAGCCTCCTGGCCGGACGGACTTCTGACTGATTTCCTCAGGACGGTGTACGGCGATTGCATCCCTGAGAATTGCGTTCCGCCCAACCAGCGCTGGGAGGGTAAGCGACTGGCCGCGGCGCGAGTCGTCGCCCACCTCACCAACGGCGAGAAGCATAGGGAGTCCTGGGTGAGGTACGCCGCGATCCTGGCCCCGGCAAGCGGCCTTAGTCCCATCAGACACGAAATGGACACGCTGACGAGTTTCCTACTCAGCCTCAGTGCCGATGCCCTCGCCTCCACGTCCATCACTTCCTTGGCGCCGAATCGCACGTGCAGACCATGAGTGAGGACAGGCCTGGCACCCCTACGGCGGTCGACACAGACAAGTCCCTGGGTACGAGAGACGACGACTCGCGTCTGGGCCTCCCAGACCCGCCCGACCACACTGTCAAGGACGAGAGCGGTGAAGACGTGATTCCCCCTACGGAGAAGGTGGAGTCACCCGACTACGGAGAAGGCGAGCCCCCTCCTCCTGTTTCCTGCTCGGACTCGGCCACGGAGGTCGACGACAACGGCCCAGGCGACAAGGCGCCTCAGCGGAGCCCAGCGGCAGACAGCTCTGAACCCAGCTCCGAACGTGTCCCGACCGCTGCCAGAGATGGCCCGGCTAACACCGACCAAAACACCAGTGCAGCCAGGGGATCTGAGGACGATGAGAGCGCCCGCGACAGGGGCGACGTGCGGACCCATCGGCCCCCACTGCGTAACCCACAGTTCCCTGGACATAGACCTACCTACCCTCGCCATACAGGTTCGACGGAGCGCGATGCGCTCAACCTGTTGACCGACTCACATGGGGGCCCCATGTACAAGGTCTGGCTGGGCACTGTGGACTTGGAGCGTCACGACGAGCCACCCGCCAAACGCCTCGCCAGGTACCAGTCGGAGTTGGGTGCAGTTTTCTGCGCGCTGTGGACCGCTTACGCGCAGCGCATTTGTCTCCCTGGACCCAGGGAGCCCAAATCAGACCCGAGACTGCACACGGAAGCGACCATCAACAAGTTGCTCGATGACTGGAAGGGCTGCGGGTACAATGCCTACCTGATGGACACGAGGTACGGCTATCGCATTGACTGGGACAAACTGCGGGCCGACTACCTGCGACGCACCCGACCCGACGGCAGGGGCAAAGGCAACCTCCAGCAGAGCAGCTGGCGAGACCGTGCGACAAGCTCCTGGGACACCTGGGGTAACTGGCAGAGCGACTGGAGTGAAGGCTGGCGCGACGATCGCTGGCAGACGGGTGGCAAGCGTGGTGGAGGCAGACCCGACGAGCGAGACGAAAAGAGACACCGATGGAGAGACTGAGCTCACTCCCCATACATCCAGCGTCTAGAGAGCCCGAACGATAACCTCACTACACACTACGTGCGGCCTTCAGCTGCCTTACCTTCTCTTTCAACCGTGTGGTAGCCCCGCTGCCCCCCCTCCCTGGTCCGCGCACTTCCTGCCTTTGGACCCAAGTGCGCCGACCAGCAATGCCATCTGCCTCGCTGCGTGGGGGAGCGCAGCTCGCAGACCATAGCTGGCCCCTGGCCCCGCTGTAGTGGTTCTCACCAGTGGCCCGAATGGTCCTGCGCTCGGCTAAGCTGCCTTAGGACCGACCGGGGCCCACTTCTGAAACGTGCGTGCACCCTGGGATTCTCTATCAGACAGCGGCCTTCAGCCGCGCTCTGGACTACAGACCCAGCTTGCGGCATTCTGCCGCCCCTCCTGGCACGCGCACTTCCTGCCTTTGGACCCAAATATGTGTGCCAGCAATACCGTCCACACTGCAATATCGTGTTGCGTGTGGCCATAGTGGCCCCTGGCCCCACTGTAGCTGTTTTCACCCTGCCAGGACAAGACAAGCCTGGCGCGCAGCCTGGTGGCCGACCTGGCGGGTTTCGCCCCGTCCCCAGACCTGCGCTCAACTCCCTGGGATCTCCTAGTTACTACGGCCTTCAGCCGTACCTCTTGGGACTCTGTGACTGTGAGGGACTTGCTGTCTTGGGTATGCGACGGCCCTCTCCCTCGAGCGCTTCCACGCCTGGGTGTGTGGGTCTCCTGGCGTCAGGTCACATAGTTGTACGGTGCACGTCCATTTCCGAGCGACCTCGCGTTCTCACAGAGTGGCTACCCGTGTACCCCTGCTGCGCCCAGACTAGTTCGCTGGTCCTCTGAACGCGGCGCATCGCTCAGCAGTGGTCGGGTCTTGCCTTTGCCTGCTCGGCCTTCGGCCCCCCCATGCGTGGATGCGTTTTCTGATGCTGCGACGGTTCGCTGGCGCTGTCAGAGTACTCCTCCTGCTGGACGGCGTCTCCAATTTCAGTCTGCTCATGCCCGTCAGACTCCCTGGACTGATTTTCCCGCGCGGAGATCGTTCCCTACCTCGCGGTTGTCTCGACGCGATCACGACCTGGAACGCGGTGCGCGCCATTTTGGCCGCGCCTGACTCGCCCAGGCGGCTGGCCTCTCAGACTCCCTGGGTTGCAGCTTGCACGACCGCCTCAGGTGACTGTCCTTGCAGACTCCCTGGGATTGCACGACCGCCTGGCCTCTCAGACGCCCTGGGTTGCCGCTGCCTCGCCGCCTGATCCGCGGCTCCCGCGCGCGCCCGGGAAATTAGTCGCGGCCGCAGCCCGACCGTGACTGCTCGCCGCCGGCGCTTCCGCCTGCGGCTGTATATATATATATATATATATATAACACCAAAAAAAAACTCATTCCCACCTGCCTCAGTCGCGATTGACCCCCTCTGCTGGCACACGCTCAGCGGTTTTGTGGGTCCGCTCTCGGTTCGCCCCCGCCCGCGGGCTGAACCGCGGCCGCCTCTTTCTAATTATCTGCAGGTGCACTCTGCGCGGTGTCGCGCCAATTATCTGTCGCTGGCCCTGTGCCCCAGACGCGCCCGCCCCGCTTCTTGGACTCTTCCTTGGAGCCGCCGATCAAAAAAAATATTCCCACCTGCCCCGAACGTTGCCCCGCTTCTTGACCTTCGTCCTGGAGCCGCCGACCAAAAAAACATATTCCCACCAGCTTTTCCTCTCGCCGGCCCGCCGCCGAGGTGCTGCGGGAGGCCCCGGCCCGCCGCTTTAGGTTACTTCGCTTTTGCGCGCCCCGCTTTGACTGGACTCACCGCTGGCGCGCTCGCCTGCGGCAGCTGACCAAAAATATTCCCACCAGTGGAGTTCGTGATTGCCGGTTCCTCAAGGACACCGTCTTTGGCAAGTGCGTCCTGGGGAGCTCGAGTTACTGACCTTCCCTTGTGCGTGGTCGCTTTCCCGCACCGTACCTGCGTCACTAATTGGCACCTTAGTGGGCACGCCGTGCGTTACCTGGTACCGCAGTTTTGCTCGACGTGACTCTGATGCACTTTTGTGATGACTCCCGCGCCATTTTGGCTACGGTGAGCTCTGTTCCGCCCTGTGCCGGGCGCCGCTCGCTTCGCTGTTATCCCCCTTTGCTTCGGCGCGGCCCGCCCTAGCTTGCTCGGCGTTCGACTCGTCGTTCGCGCGCCTGCGTGCCAAAAAGTATCCCCATCACCCCGTCCAGAAACGATGTCCCAGCGAGTTGAGGTGATCATGGGGCGTGTGGGAGCAAAGAGGCGGACGGCAGAACCGTGCGAAGGAGGGAGGGAGGAGGAGAAGGAGGAGGCTGGATGGATGAGGGAGTGGGGAAAAAGGAAGACGAATAGGATGAGAAGGAGGAGGAGGAGGAGGAGGAGGAGGAGGAGGAGGAGGAGGAGGAGGAGGAGGAGGAGGAGGAGGAAAAACAATCAAGAGGAGGACGAGGACGGCAAGCAAAAGGCTAGAGGTCTCTTGGATGTCCCTCGGAGCCTCTTGGGATATCTCTTGGGCGTTTTTTGGAGGCCTCTTGGGACGCCTTGGGGGTCTCTCGGCTGTCCTGGGGTCTGTTGGGCGTCTTGGGTGCCTCGGGGGGGCTTCTTGGGGCCGCTTGGGGTCCTCTTGGGGGCCGGGGGGGTGTCTCCTGGGGCCCTTTTGGGGCCATCTTGGGGCCTCTTGGGGCCTCCTGGGCGCCTCTTGGGGCCATCTTGGAGGAGATCGATCAAAAAAAGGGGGGTTGCTTCCTTAGCCCCCTCCAAAAGGCCAACATGGGGTCAAAACCCGGGTAAAACCAATGATGTTGGCTTCCTCGCTGAGGCCGTTTTGGACGCCCCAACGACCCGCGACCGCATCCGTCCAGGTCCAGGGGAGGGGTAATGGGTGAGGGGCAAACCCTTCCCCGAAGGGGAAGAGGGAGGAATGGAAGAGGAAACGTTCTAAAACACTTACGCCCAGAGGGCTGGTGGGATTCATCAAGGACGTTGTGATTGTGATGCCTCGCTTTTGAACGTGGCCACCGTTGGAAACCCAACGGCCAAGCAGGTGGGGGGCATGCGTGCGTCTAGCTCCAACCTCAAGGGAAAGGGCAGAATATGTCCGAAGGTTTCCGATGATTCCCAGTTGTTGTGGGACTGGGGGCGTGATTCGTCGGCGGGGCCTCGAGAGCCATCTGGGGATTCTGGCCTGCCCAGCAGGACTCTCAAATCAAGGTCTTGGTGACAGTGCGCCCCACAAGAGATAGGGGGGCCGATTCGTGCGGCTGGTTCGCGTCGCCTCGCCGCGGCAGCCGCGTTGGCACGATCGGGGGAGGGGGGACGAGGAAAAGGGAGGGAGGTGGGACAGAGTAGGAGGAGTGATCTTCGCCCTGGGAGGATCATGCCCCGATCGGCGGGCCTTGCGGGAGCCTTCCGTTCAGGACGACCTGAACGACCACCGTCCAGCCCCGAGGCGGGACAGGAAGAAGGACACGGGGCGAGAATTCTTCCCGGGTTGAGGGGTGGGGGGGCAGCGAAGAGGAGGAGGAGGAGGAGGAGGAGGATCATGACCAGGATCAGAACCAGAACGACCAGGATATTTTGGGGGGACCTCCTCGGGGCCCCCGTCGCAGTGTTGGATTCACGCTGGAATCCAGCCCTGAACGCGTTCCAGGAGAGGTCCGTGGGTCGAATCCGAATGGGCAGACCGCCCGCACACCCGGCGCCCTGAGAAAAACCAGGACGGCGGTTCGGGCCACGTCGGCAGAGGCATGATGGGCTCGACGCTCGGTGCGCGCCTTGGCACCACAGCGCGCGCATGAGCCAGAGCAGCAACAGCAATTCAGAGCACAAGCTGTCGTGCTCACTGGCACAGGAGTGTCAATGATGAGGGCATCCTGATGCTGAAGGCACACGCATGCAATGCAATGTGATGCGATGCGACGCACAGCAGAGCCCCCGGGGTCAGCCCAAAGGAAGGCGCACATCCCACGAGGGAGTTCATGGGAATGCTGCAGCCGCTGAGAACCACGGAGCCTAAAGCCTGGACGCGTCGCAAACCCCTACCAGCCCATCCATGACCAGGGAAGTGTAGGAGCAAGTAGTGGATCAAAGAGGGGTCAGCCGTCACGCCGAAGGTGTGGATCAGCCGGAGCAGACGCAGGAGTCAACCATTCATGCCTCTTCGGATCTTTCGATTTGGGAGCCTCCCGGCAGTCTACTAGCCAGGGCTCTCCTGAGACAATGTTGCAAGCCGTTGGGGCTTCTCTTGGGCCCGCTTGCGGCCCTCTGAGGAGCCCTCTTGGAGCAATCTTGGAGGACAAGGGCAATGTCGTTGGCTTAGCTTAGGTTTGGGAATGAAGTATAGACGCTTCGCGTATCCTCACCAGCCCACCCACATACTTTGCCCAGGAGAGTTAAATGAAGACGACGACGACGACGACGACGACGACGACAACCACGAGTCAACCATACAGCCGTCGCGGAGGTTTCGCTCCGCGAGACTTTGGGAATCCTCTTGGAGGCCTCTTTGAAGGTCTCCTGGAGCCAAACTGGCGCCTTCTCGGGACGATCTTGGGGCCCATCGCTCCAAAAAGCGGGGGAGGCTAATTCGGGTCCCCCCTCAGAGGGTTCAAACATGCCCTCTTGGGGACTTGTGAGACCATTCTTGGGCGCAGCTTGAGTGCTCTTGGGGTCATCTTGGAGCTCTCTTGGGCTCTTCCGGGGGCTATATTGGGCCATCTTCAGGCTATCTTGAGGCCGCAGAAGCCCATCGGAAGTGAAACGGCCATGGATTCCTTTCGGTTTTCGAATGCGTTTGGCCTGTTAGGTGGCTCGAAGGACTGTCTTGTGATGTCTTGAAGGTGTGCTGGAGACTATTCAGCCATGATGTTGTACATTGAGCAATTGTAGAGACCATCTCGGGGCGTCGGGAGCCCTCTTGAAATCATCTTGGGCCATCTTGACCACATAAGTAGTGCCCAAGTCTCAGCATATTCAGCGGTCGCTTTGTATTGGCAGCTACTGGGAACCACTACAGACCCCAGGTGCGCGACGCTGGGGCGAGGTTCGCCACGGTCGCTGGCTGAATCGCGTGAAAGTATAAGCAGCAGCGGGGCCGCGTGACAGCGGGCGAACTTCCGACCTCGCCCAAGCGCCGCGCAGTGCTGTGTCAGCGCGGCGCATGATTTGTCTTCGCCGCGCCCATCGGTAGTTTTGCTGCTCCCGCCCCTGCGCGGCCCGCATAGGGTCCCTTGTCCCCAAGTCGTCGGAAGTGGGGACGCGCGCGTTCGCCGTCCGTTTGTGAGGTGGGAGCGCGTTTCAATCACAAGGTCAAGTTGTGCCATAATCCAGTCTGATGGAGGAAATGTGGCAATAGGTGGGGCCCTCTGCTTCGCTCGACCTGGCGATCTTGATCCCTCCCATACTCTCACGTCCGCACCTGGACCCTCGACCCCAGTCCGAATCCCAATTTCTCAACATACACACCAACCAACACATCCTAACACGAGCACTCGAACCCAAACCCGACACGGCACGGTCCTAACACTAAGTCCAAACATTTTGATCCTAAATCCAAAGTTCGAACATTTTCGCCCGCTGCACGAACCCTAACCGTGTATATTAAACCGATCTCCTAGCACCATAACATTACCCCCATAATCCAGAGCACGCACCCGAATACCCTGAACCCGAACACCCTAACTCGAATCCAGCTACCTGCGGCGAACCCCGCCACCGTGCCTGTGCAACAGTGCAGCAGGAAGATGCTGAGTGTGGGAATAATTCAATTCCGACGGGTAGTCTGCATTGGGGCGGGTCGTGGTCTCGACCTCGTCTTGACCACGCGGTAAGGAGGAGGAGGAAGAGGAGATGGAGACCATGGGGATGCGGAGGAGGGCGTCCTGTGGGCATCCTGGGAGCTTTCAGAAAACTTCTTGGGGGCCTCATGGGGCCTTTGTGGGCCTCTTGGGGCTTCTTGGGCCGTCTTAGGGGATTCTTGCCCCGTCTGACGCCTGTGGGGTCCGCTTTGGCGGCATCTCTGTGCAGGGTTGGCGCCCTTTTAGGGGATTCTTGGGAGCCCCATTATCGATCTCTGGGTCCTCTTGGCCAGCTTCAGGCCCTATTGGGGGCCTCTTGGGCTGTCTTGGAGCTATCTTGGAGGCCTCTTGGAGGTTTCTTGGACCGCCTGGGGCGGTCGGAAACCCGAACATGTGAGAACCTCAACATCCTTCAACGACCTAAGGACAATCAGCGGTGTTGGCCTCGGGCCCTCCATGACGGCCTCTTGGAAACCTCTTTGGGAAGTCTTTGGGGCTTCTTGAGCTGTTTTGGGGCTGTCTTGGGAGTCTGTGAGCCGTCTCGGGCTGTCTTGGCGTCATCTTGGCTGCTGTCAACGTCGTCCTGCAGGCCACGGGGCTCCCGAGAAGGCCTCAAGACAGATCAAGAATCGCCCAAGACGGTCCAAGGGGTTTTCAAGAGGCCCTCCAGGAAGGTCGAGAAGGCCAACACCATCGATTGTGAAGGCTGACTGCCGGTGCCGCCGACCCTGAAAGACATCGGCGACGACCAGGAGGGCGACGAGGAGGGGAAGGAGGAGGAGGAGGCGGAGATGAGGAGGAGGAGGAGGAGGAGGAGGAGAAGGAGGAGGAAAAGGACTCCCTCTTGTGCCATCCCCCCCTGGGGAGGAGGACCAGAAGAGGACCGGCGTAGGAGAGGGGAGGGGAGGAGGAGGAGGAGGAGGAGGAAGAGGAGGAGGAGGAGGAGGAGGACCCCCAGGGACGGATGCGTATCTGACTCCACTCCCCCCTTGGGACTCCTTCCCACCTGGGGAGGAGGACCCGAGGAGGACCGGCGCGCCGGAGAAGGACCGGCGTGGGAGAGGAAGACCCCCAGAGGCGATGCGAATCTGACCCCCCGCTCCCCGGGGACCTCCCCCCCGCCGGGGAAGGGACACGGGGAAGGGGTTTCCCTTTTACGTAATGAGGACGCGGATGGTACTGCCTCGAGCTGCGAATCCGTTCCCAGACGAGGAAGGGTGCTCTCTCTTTCTCTGTCTCCCCCGATGGGAGAGGAGGATGGGAAGGAGGGGGCGAAAAAAGGCTTTTCGTCGACGGGACCGGACAGACACCCCTCACACACGCCGACAGGGTCGGCGGATTTTCGTTAGGTTGGGCTTCCGACTGTCCAAGGCAGCCCAAGGGCCTTCCCTCTCTCGGAGCGCGTCGGAGCCGTCTTGGGGCCCGTTGGGCGATCTTTTGGGTCTTCTGGGGCCGACTTGGGGGCCTCTCGGGAGCCTTTTGGGTTGTCTTGGAGCTATCTTGGAGGCCTCTTGGAAGCCTGTTGGGTCGTTTTGGGTGGTTCGGAACCCGAACAGGCGAGAACCTCAACATCTGTCAACAACCTAAGGAAACTCAACGGTTGTACCCCCCCTCGGGCTCTCCAGGACGGCCTCTTGGAGCTCTCTCTCGGGCCGTCTTGGGTGGCTCTTGGGCCGTCTTGAGGCCCTCGTGGGCTATCTTCAGGCGTCTTGAGGTTCTCCCGAGAGACTCTTGAGCTGTCTCGGGCCATTTTGAGCCGTTGTGTTATCGTCTTGGTTGTCTTGGAAACCATCTTGGCCGTCTGGAGGCAAAACAACCCCCCAGAACACAATGCCATAAGGTTTGTTTTGTGTGAGTGTGAACGAGTGAGTGTGCGGGTAGGTGGGTGAGTAAGTGAATGAGGGCGCGAGTGAGTGATCATGATGAATGTGTGAGTGAGTATGTGATTGGGTGAGCGAGCGGGGGAGTGTGAGTGATGATGTGTGTGAGTGATTGATTGAATGAGTGTGCGATGAGATAAGAGGCGATGGTGTGTTCTTTCCTGTGCGGGGGGTGCGCAGAGAAAACAAAACCGCACCTAGGATGTGGGGAAAATAGTGCAAGGTGCTCGCGCCCCCCCGAACGTGACTCAAGAGTTTACCGCAAAGTGCTCTTTGCTTTGTGTTTTGGCATGGATCGCGGGGGGGGGGCCTGATTGTCCCGGGTTTGTCGCCGGTCGGTTGGGGGATGGTGTGCATACTAATGAGGAGCAGCGATACGGGAGTGGGGGTCTTTATTCCCAGAAATTCCTAATCTCCACCTGGCCGATCGGGGCCCCATCCGGGTCCCTCCATCTTACGTGCGAAAAATGGCAGCGTCGACGATTTTCGTTTCAACATGGACATGCCGTCGTCGATGTTGCGAAATGCGTGACAGAATGGGAGAGGGTGCTCATCCCTCGCGCAAAGGCCGACGTGTCGCTTTCGTTCCGAAGGCGCTTTCACCTTTTCAGTAGAATTGAGCTCCCAGTGGGGCGCGGCGCGCATGTTTCGCAGTCCATTTCGTCGACGAGCGAGCGGGCGAAAACGTAGCACTCGCTTCGGCGCAACGCAGATTTCGCTTAAAACTGGCGGTCCAGCCACGACGAAGTACACATATGTCACTCGCCAGTTTTGGAAAACCCGCTCGGG